AGAATATGTTATTGGTTTATGAAAATATTTTTTTTTATTTAATTTTTACACAAATGAGGGGATTTTAAGCTTTGAAATTTACATATACAAAATATTTAAGTCAATATGAGTTGTTAATATTTCGATCAATGTAAAACCTCCCAGCCCATAGTCACACATGGTCTCCCTACAAGAGTCTTTGCCTCACATCGAAGCTTGCATATTATTTGTGCTCACACACCAACAAGTATTACACATGTGTGCGTCAATCGCTATTCACGATTTTCGCATCGATGGTGTTGGTATTGATTTCGTATTGTCGTTAGCTTGCGACATGTAAAAAGAAAAGGGGTCTTAGGGTGATTACACACGATAATATGGAACGGGACCAAACATTATAATAATATCGAAATTAGATTGTGTTTTGTGATTTCAACCTTATATTACATAGTACTGTTTCTACCCACAAAGATTCCTATTTATAATTTGATAAACTATTTCTGGAATCAATAGGCATACATGGGATGGGAAAATGTATTATGTAGGGTATACAAGTTGTCGGTATATGTATAAGATCTCACTATGTAAATGGGCGACATATGACACGATTGTGTAATCTCCCTAAAAGAGAAAAAGGGTCTCAAACACGAGCGCCATTAGAAAAATGTCGCGATAAGGATGTTCAATCATTTCGCTACCAATGAGGGGTGCTATCGATTTTGCGAAAATGTCACCCAAACGATATCGAATATCGCTCGCAAATGCGAGCTCTGTCACCCTTTCCAGAATATTTTAAATTGCGTTTTTTGACATACATCAAAGTCATATTTATTAGTTTATGAATAATCATAACAAATTTTATATACACTGAGTCTTAGTTACTTGCATTACCAACTAAACAACGAGTCCTTGCTATGTAAATTCTTTGTATATAATATGGAAAAAACCAACTTGTTACTAAAACATTGTATTTTTCTGTTACAGGTAAATTCATCAAACGTTCAAGTAAAGCGATTGAAAACTTGATACCATCGCTACGACACCGCTTAAAGTAGATGATCATAGCAATAACTGGTATAATGTAACGATTCACTCATAAAAATAACGAATAAAAGCAACTCGTCTATTCGCTAAGAGATGGCAGCACATGTTATCAAGAGGTTCGTGTCTAAGTTTATTTTCATTTCACATACGTTCCTAGGGGGAGTTTTCTCAAGTTTTCCTTTTGTTGAAGAGGTTCATTACTAGGGATAATAGTTTTGCAATTATCGTAGAGGGGGCGGTACAAGACGCTTTCAAAGGAAGAGACACTTGTCTATATAAACATGCGTTTGTTTTTATGACCTTTTTATGCTTTGATAAACTTTTAAAATAACGAATATATCTACATTATTAAGCAGTTTCAGTGAGTCAAACATGTACAATTTTTTCAATCTAATTTCAGATTTTTCTAAAGATCTTTTAAAGACGTAAGCAATGCCGATGTCACAACTATGTTGACCTCTAACCACATATTAAGCCCGTTTTTATGACATGTTTGTATTCAATTATAATATGATAAAAGATTTAACCTTGCCTTAATAAACTATGAAATTTTTCAATCTTCGTCGGCCTTGTGGATTTTGTCGTATGGCATTTGTTTAATTAGGTTTTTCCTTATAAACTTTGTTCCGGAGGTTTGTTTTATGAACTTAAGGTCATATTTACGTTATGGTACCGATGCTAGTACACGGTTACATCACTCGCTACAGTTTACGATACGCCAAGGTCAGGGGTTGCTTGGGTCAATGGCCGTGAATAGGCACAGGTCAACGTGAACTCGTATAATTTAAATTAAAATAAAAAAATATAAAACCTCTTTTTTACAAAAAATAAATCTTATTTCATTTATATGTTTAAATATTTATATGATATACAAAAAATTACTTTCATCTTCGATTAATTTAATATAATATATTTAAAAGATATTGTATAAAGTTTTATAAGTACTTAATTTATTTGGCTACACTTTATCTTCATATACGTAGCTTTAGGCTAAAGCAAAAACTCGAAAATCGGAGACCCGAATTCGAAATAAAAGCTTTGAAATCCAATTCCATTGAAATAAAAATAAAATGGAAAAATATATAAAAAATAATTATATTTAAACAACGTATATAGGCGTATAAAATATTTTTATCGAACGTGACAAAATGAATAAATAATAATGGATAACATTTATAAGGAGTTACTAAATAGATTTTAAATGCTTTATGTTTTCTATAAATAGACTTCGTATAATTGATGAAACAATTTAAACGTTATAGTACCATAACATCCGTTTTGAAACATAATTTTATTTAACGAAATAAAAAACACGACATAAATGGATTATTCAATGGGTATAAATATAAATAAAATAGAGGAGCCTCTTTGTAATATAAAAATACTCTATTTTTAGATAAATACATTTTATATGTATGCATGCATGATTCTTCTCAGTTTGTACCTATCACTCTTGGCAGAGTGGTCGTGGTAAACCATTTGGGTAGTGATGGCTCATTTGACAATGTATGATACATATTATACCGAAATGAGGTTTTTAAATTTTTGTCAGTCTGATTATTCCGGCTAATATTTTAAACGGCTGGGAGGATTTTGAGAGAATTTTTTATCGCAGATAGTTTGTGTTATACTAAGAAGTAATTTGACATATTTTTGATTTAAGACAATATAAAAATATTCTTAAAAAATCGAGTCCTTGCGGACGAAGTCGCGGTCTCAACTAGACGTCTTAAACTTACAAGAAAATCATTATTATATGCCTTCATACAATATATAACGATTTTAAATAATGTTGAAGTTTTTTCATTAACTGATGTATATTAGTCAAGGTAAATTAAAAAAATCGCACGAGGAATTAACGCAATGCTCTTAATACCAATTCAATTATTTCTTGTGGAAATTATTCACGCTTAGATTTATTTATTTCTTTAATCATTTCAAATAATTTGATAAGAATGGTTACCTACAATAATTAAAATAATATTTCAAGGAAGAAATATTTATTACGTTTCTTAAGTTTAATTATAAATTAAAATTTATTAAACAGTGTATCTAGCTTACATAAAAATATATCGATCTCACATTTACTCACAATAAAACATTTCGTCATTTTGATATAATTCCTTAAATTTAAGAAATATGTATACATATTTAAGCCGTCCTGAAATTTGAATAACAACTGATAACTTATATTATTAAAGACTATAGGTACATTAAACTAGCAAATATTAAAAAAGGTTATTTTTAGGTACTTTATATAAATAATACCCTATTAATTTCATTCTCTATTTTTTATCTCTATATTCAAAATCATAAATAAAAATACTAATCGGTTAAAAATTAAAAGTATGAGAGCTATTTTATGCAAAAATATAATCAATTGGTCGCTGAGACGTTATCATAATAACAAAATATACATATATATATGTATTTACGTTCCAAAATTATATTCCTAATTTTGTTTCAAATATGTTTCAAGGTAATAATTAATTATTTAAAATTAGATAAAAAACAAAACTATTTTACTGATCCTGAATATAGAGAGGAATAAAAACAAACTTAAAATAGTGTTAAATCTTGTCTAATAATATATTTTTTTCACAAATTTTCATATTATTAAGTTAATACTGTAAAAATTATTTAACACGAAATTTATATATGCATTATTTAAGTTTGGACATGGAAATAAATAAAAAAAATCTTATAAGATTAAGAGTATTTTTTCTTTCCATTAAAGAAATTCCAACACGAAGGCTTAGTAAAGGCTATTATATTAAGCCTTCTTAAAAATGTAAATAATTGTCATTAAGACAAATATTTGTATGATTTATTCATAAATTCTATGTATATAATGTTTGTAATAAATTATATTTTCATTAAAATATTTTTTTTATATATTTATCGTAATATATATGTTTATGTATTTTTATAATCCTTGCGATTCACAATAGTTATTAACACGGAATCCAAAATAATATCGTAATCAAAATTACGAAAGTTATAAAGAAATGACAAATTGCAATGTTTTAAGAATGTTTTGACAATTCAATACATAAATATATAAATAAAATTCATATTAGGTATAATTACAATTATAATAGAGTATTAATTTCTTTTTGATATATTAATAGCCTATTTATATTTTTATAGAATACATATACCTACACGTATTTTCTTTTTCTATTTTCTTTTTCACATACGTATTTATATGTTTTTAGAATAATCACCCTATATACAGATGTAAATATAAAAACCTATCGTTTTATTTCCAAATACCACATTAATTACGTTTTAACAGGTTTTTTTAAATGAAATTACCTTTTATTTTTTATCAAATAACTAAACTAAAGGTCGGTTTATTTCGGATGTGAATTCAGTAATTTTATTGTCTAGGTATGTTACATGTGGCTTATTATTTAACAATAATTTTCTCTTTCCCACAAAATTATAAATTATTACAAATGCTTCTTATTTTGTTTTAATAAATAGGAACCTTCGAGATGACTTAAATTCGTATGTTGTATAGCAAATCAAATAAAAATTAATTACATTATTGAAAAATCGTTGTACTAACGTTATCATTAATTGAATATAAAAACTGATTACAAGAATGAATATTAAATAATAAAAGAATGTATATTGTATAGGTTTAGATTTTTTTATGATCACACACTAACTAGGAGATAAGTAACATGTACATGTGTGCTAGAAGTAAATAATAAAAGAACCAGTACATAACTTATGTATTTCAGACTATAAAGTCTTTGTATCGCTCTACAAAACGTTGATATAAATCTCTAAATGAATCTCCATCCAATTAGAATGTAATAATTTACATAAAAATAACGAATCACATAGACCGGCTAAAAAGCAATTGTATAAGACGTTGATCCGCAATTAGCTCGCGTAATTAACGCCGAGGCGTGGCCGCGCTAATGAGACTCAGAGGCGGCGGCGGACGTAATCAACATTAAAGATTGGCGGGAGATGCGTCTCCACTGGAGCCCCCTCACCTCACAGCGCTGTCCCCCGCGAGAGCCCGCTCTTCCCTCATTACTTATACAAAATGCTTAAGACTCTACGTCCCGCTCTCCGCGCTAATAGCTCGCGCCCACTATCGCCGTCCCGCTTGCCTCGCTTGCCCCGCGTGCCTCGCTTACCCCGCTCAGCGTAATTAAGCTCGCCTCGCCTCTGGCCCGCCCCTTTAGAGGCGAGGGGTGAGACGCGCGGGTATCACCGGCGCGCAGTGTGCCGGCGAACGTCGACAGTGTCACGTCGTACCAAGCTCAGGGAAACAGTACCTCTATTTGTGTGTTATCGTGCCTGTGTTTTGACTCGAGTGTTGAGTTTTTATTATTTATTTATTATTATTTTTTTGTAACGGACAAGTGTTTTGTGACTGCGTGATATGCAACGAATTGGTGTTTAGCGTCGTTCAGCGGGCGATGCTCACAGGTTATTTTGCATGTTCATTATAATATGCCGAATATCTCACTTCTCGTTGGTAATATGTTCTGTTTTTAATGAATATTGATCTCTTTTACTATTACAGTAATATTTTAATCATCTTTATAATATATTTTTCGTATTCGTCGCGATGTATCGCTTATTGGAAAATGTTTATCCAAATTCAAGTTAGGTCTTATAAGTGGCAGTGATTACGAGAAAAATCTTTTAATTGAGTCGTTTTTCAAGAATTTATCTTTCACCATAAAAAATACTTAATGTTTCTATTCAAATATCTCAGTAACATCTATAGAGACAAGTGCGAAAAAAGTTTTATGTTAAAATATTCGGGTATTACGTTGTTCATTTCAAGTTACAAAATTACTGGCGAAAAAAAATAACAAAACTTAGTCAAATATTGATTGGAAAAAAATAAGGTCAATTGTTTTTGCCGCAAGTAAAAGTAACCTTTGTGTGTTCGTGTCGTTTGTTTAAGATTTCTAACAAACTTCTGAGGCCGTCGCCAATTTATATTTATTTTGGACATGATAAATAAAACCGAGTTTAATCAGTGCCACAGAAGTGTTCTTGAAAAACAGTGTTTTCTCCTCCTCGAGTGATGTCCTATAAGAATCGGTTATAAAACCCACATAACACTAAAGTGAAACCAAAATTCTTACTAACCACTTAATATGATGATAAAATAAAGACTTTTTAAATGGACAACGTCTTTGATCAAATAATTATAGGCAGTTTTATCAAAAATTATTGTAAAAAGCCGCATTGAATATTAAAACCGGAAAAAAATATTTATTTAAATGTTTAAAATTGCTCATATATTTTATATTTTTAACAGAGATTAGCCAATATAATAATTCATGTTTCGATCTCATACTGAAATTCATTTCTAAATCATTCTTTACCAAAAAAGTAGATGTAAACTAAGAAATTATTGTCTTTTTACAAATATATTACCAAAAAATTATAACTATATATCTGTTAGTTTATTGTTAAAGTTAAAAGAATAAATGTGAAAAGTAATAAGATGTACAAAAAATTAAATTTTTTATCAATCATTTCGCCTCTACCTATTAAGAAATTTTCGTGAATATTATGTTTGTTATAAATGACTTTATAATAATATAAATAATCATATTTATTTCTATAATAGAATTTGTATTAACTTGATACAATAATCATATTTTACAATATTTTGGAACATTTCATCATTCAAACTCTTAGATAAAATTGTGTTTTTCTTATTTCACTTATCAAAGTGTATTTTGTATGATATATAAGATATTTTTCTATTGAACGGATAAGAATAGATGAGTATTATTCGATGTTATAATTTATATATCCTTATTAGAAATTAGTATAGATCTACATCGTCTTTATACCACATAATCTGTTATGCAGTAATTAGACTGAACGTTGTAAGATTTTCTTCTTAGAATGAACATTCAAATTTCATATAAAAACAAACAAAGCGGTCGCGCATTCCCTTCACAACAGGCGGCCATCTTGCGAGATCACATCTATACCGGTCAGATGATATTCGTCAGATACAGTCATTAATCAAAAAGACCAAGATCTATATCAACGATCAATATTTAATTTCTCTATACATTTGATGCGTAGGCGCATAGCCGTGCGAATTACAATGGCGCCACCGACGGTATGCAAAACATTGTTCCATATATCATTATTATATATACATATTATTATATAGATAATTGTAAAAGAGATCAATAGCTTACATAATATAATAAAAAACATGCTTCGACAAGTGGGAGTCCTATTGTTGTAAAGTATGCATATTTTATTTGCCATTGAAAACAAGCTTAGATAGTGATTTTACTGTGTTTTGTTTGTTGTAAAATGTACCTAGTATTTTTTGTTATTTATTTTCACATCGTAGAATTTATTATGTAAACCTATTTATGAGCTAAAATAAAAATGAAACTCATTTATCGATAAGCCTTGAAATTTAAATTTGCTTCGATAAAACGTTGCGAAATGCTTCAAAATCAATGAGAAGTCCTTTTTCGTGTAATAATATATTAAATTATAAAATAGAAATTAAATTGTATTTTAATGAACAAAATGTATTATAAATAATTTACGATATAATTGATAAATAAATTAGATTTTAATGTTTAGTTTAAATAAATCTAAATTTATCTCACGTCTTCGGCAATATCTAGCGCCACCTCGCGGGCGATAGACGAACTACTTATCGCCCTGAGAAAGACACTTCAGAGATAAGGGCCATCGTGACCGCTTGAGATGTACTACAGATAGGTAGATAACAATTTTATTTAACTACATAAAACTTTAGATATTTTGTCTACTGATTAAATAATGTGAATATTATTTTTAATAATGCGGAATTTTTGCAGTATAACTAAACTCTGAAAATGTAAGATGAAGTAAAACGAAATACACGCATTTTTAACGAAGTGTTTCTATTGATATCCGCTTCTTTGATGTAGCGTGGCTTTTATTTACCTTTACAAAATTACTCCACCTTTCATTACATTTTGATCAGTCTTAAATTTTTAGTATAGATATAATTTTTAGTACATAGAATTAAAATTTTCGTTCGGTAAATACATATTAAAAAACCCATTCACATTTAGATGTTCGTACATAATGTATTCAACACGCGGAATCTATTTAAACCGTTTATACATACCCGGGTGCGACGACATTACCCAGATACATATCATTACTGAACAATAGATCTCATATACGACAATCCGAAAATTATCACAAAAGAGGTTATATAACCGATTAGAATGAATGCTTCAAACATAGGTTCTCAACTGTCAAATTTTGATACAGAATTGTTATTTGTTTTGTAACATGACCGATGACCGTTACAATTAGCACGTGTGACCTGAACTATTTACCTAACACGAATGTTCTGTTACTTTTTTTCAAATTCATACCCGAGATCATAAATTTCCGCTCCGACCGCTACGCAAATGTCAACAAACATGGCGCTGTCATACAAATCGATTACCGAAATTTAAACGCCGCTTTCTGGTAGCGACTGTTACGAATTTTTGAATAAATTTATTAAACGGTTACAATATATTTCTTATAGTATTATTTAATATTAAAATTATATACGGTTTGTGTATTTATTCAATTCACATCGAAGTAAATTTGTAAGGAGATAATAATTCTTACACTGCTTTTAACGGAGTAACCAATTTATTATTAATATTGTTCGGGCCAACGGCTGTGTATTCATGTTATTACGGTGTCCACTTTCTGGTTCCATTTTCTCGTTTAGCGCAATTTATCTGAGACCGGTGACATCAATAAGTTTTTTCGTTTTCGTCCGTACTTATATGGGTATGATAATTTGTTTCCGGTGTATGCGGCGCGTGCGCATGCCACGACAAACTATTACATTCATGGCGTTAGCACGATTTGCATTTGAAATATTTCGTATGGCTCGCGCCTAGTACTCACAATGGCTGGAGAGGCGTCTCGGCAGTTAATAGGTACCCTATGCCATATCAAATTTCTTGGTTTATTTTTCAGCCGCGTGCTTTGGGTAGGTTTCTTTTGTGGGACGTGTGATAATGGGGCACTTTTCGTGACACACGTGTCCGTAGAATGGAGCCTCCGATTGTATGTTACCATAGTAGGTACTCCATATTCTGACTATTGCTAACTCTCTTTTACAGTTTATCGCTCTATTGACTTAATATACATATACTTCAAACTAAATTATGGATGATAAATTAAATAAATGAAACTGTTAAAATTCTCTCCATGTTTAGTATGCCATTATAAAAAGATAAATGAGTTTTCTTTCAATTTAATATAAATGAATAAATTTAAAAATATAATTCGAGTCAATTTAAATTTTTGCTTTTGATTATTTTTGATTATGTTTTAGCAAATACGTTTTTTCCATGCGAGAATCTAATCATGAAAATCACGATTCTTAAAAAAAAATATTTGTGGTACTATTCCCTAATGAAGTGAAATTAATCTGACAAAATTTCTCCGTGACGTAAATGCGGGGAGATGCTTTTGTTTTATTAAATAATTGCCGCGAGGTGTTTCGGACGAGAAACTGGTTCCATCAAGGCCAGACATCGAACTTACGAACGTGGCTCGGAGATCGATTCCAACGAACATTTGACGGACAAACTTACGACTTTACAGAAGTAACAGGTCTGTTAGCTAACCAGAAATCAATTAGTTGCACGCATCCAGTAGCGTTACAAAAATAACAATATTATATAGATGCTATTAAACCCGAAAGTTGGAACGAGATGATCATAAATCTAAAATGATCCCGAACTATTAGCAATTTATAGGCGAGCTCGGTTTAGGTGGCATAAAATAAATTTATGAATCAGAAACGGCTGTACGAACTTTGAATAATGACAGTTAGGCCATTGAAAAAACCCTGAGGCGGATTTGAGGAGCGCGGGGAGATCCGAGCATTTGTGTTGCGGATGCGACACTTCTTGTAACATTTTTTGATCCCTTAATACAGTTAGATAGTATTTAAATATTTTTGTTTAATAATAATTAATCATAAAGATTTTAATATAATATTTCTATACATATGTCAGGTATCGAATTAGTTCGAGATAAAATATATGTAATCCGTTTTTTATTACTTTTGATAAATATCAGTTTATCTATTCGTATTGTTCGCTGCTTATTATAATTCAAAGGAAAAACATACAAATACAAA